GGGCAGGCACCTGGATGTCCTGGACTGGAACCAAATTCAGGAATGCACGTATCGGGGTTGGAGGCAGGAGAATGAGCAGGGTCCCACAGGGATGCCGGCCATGAAAGAAGAAAGGGAGAGCCTCATGATCCCTTAGCTTTATACTGAGTATGATGTGCATGGGATGGAATACCTAGTTGGTCAGTTTTTGGTCACCTGTCCCATCTGCACTCTTCCGCAGGTGCGACCCTTTTATGACTTTTTATGTGCTTAACAAAAGAGGGCCAGCAGTGGCCTTGGTTCTCATTGGGATAAGCATAAACATGGGCCATTCTGCATACCAATCCTACTGATACTTCAGCAGCAACTATAAATACCGAGCATTATCAAGTCAGAAAAGGAGACAGTGTCTGAAAAACATGTAGCTGTACTTTCAGAAAGTGCAGTTACGTAGAAGAAACTTAACTGAAAGGAAAACTCCTGAAAGGAGAAGTAATCCTGTTTTTGCCAAACCAGGACAGCTATTACTGAATAAAACTTCCATTTAGTGAATATAATTAAATTATATTCAGTGAAGCTTGCAAAACCAGTGATTTTAAATGATCCTTTGAAATCTAGCTGCTATCATTGCTACAGGCTGTAATGCTGAAAACCATCACACTTGATCCTCTGCTTCAAGTAAATTATATAATGATTTCTGCTAGTGATTCTATTCATGAAGGTCCATAAAACAGGTTAGCAAAGGAAAAAGATGACACTGTCTTTACAGTATAGTGTATAGTACCTTTTTATTCATTTTCATTCGTATTACACCACTTTACTTTGGCTGAGTAGTCTGCATTTCTGTGCTCCCAGTCATAATAATGTATGAACGCTCCACCAGTCTCATAAACAGAGGCAAAACTGAACTGATTTACAGGTTATATCACTGAGCAGGAGCCACATAAAGCATCACAAATCCCTTAATGTCTGAAAAAAGGATGCAAACCAAGTCCACCTGAAGCTGCCTGGTGCCACTCTTGTAGGGAATGATTTCAAACTGGACTGTTGAGCTCTCCATGGGAGCCATTCTTGCCACACTAAAAGAGAGAATACATTTGTAAGTTCAAGCAGCTGAAAAATTCTTGCTATGTATTCTTCAGAGTCCCCAAATCTAAGACAGTATGGAAAGGAAGAGTCAGAGTAAGTGGCTGCTGTGTTTGTACGCTCCTAGCACAGGTGAACATAACCTTGCATGCTCATAGCCCTCACAACACTATCCTTGAAGAGCTAATCAAGCTGTAATGGATGTGGTGGAATAGTTACAGTTCTAAACCTGTGATAGAGAATTAGGGATTGTATCATGAGGGCAAAACGTATTGAGCGCCTGAGGAATGATCAGGAAGGTTATCTTTAGAAGAGTTCAAATCCAACTGTATGTATTACCCTCAACACTCACAACATTTATAGTATTCTAGGTATGCTCGTGCTGTATTTTGGTGTGGTAAATATAATTACTTGTTGATTTTATGTCCATAGTTAGAAATTACTCTTGGCTGTCCAACACAAGGAGACTAATAGTAGCTCCAGGAAACAGAGATAGTGGGGGAAAAGGGTCTCTTTGCTCTGAAGAGGTACTGAAGCTGAGCAATACCAATGCTGGTAAGACAAGTTAAAGTTCAGGATCAGGATCTAGACCTGAATTTTGCATTCAGTGTATGAAGCCTTAGTGATTATCATAATTGTCCATGTTTTGCTATCTTTTTTTGTTCTTCTTTCACAGTTTCTTGGTGCTAACTCCTCCAGCATAAATATTTTGGAGACGTTTAAAAAAAATGTTTTTAAAATAATAACCATGGAGGAGATGGGAGAACAATTTCTTACTGGTATGATATCAGTAGACACATTTTTAAGACATTTCATTACAGTATATGTCCTGGCTCTTTAGTAATTTAATATCTGAAGGAAAAAAGATACCATCACTTTCTCTCTTGCCCTTCAAGGATTGTTTGGTTTTCCTTTTGCAAACCACAAGAAGAAGAAAATTTTTAAATTTTTTCACTTTATATAATTCAGTCACTAACATTAAAAGCAGGCCATCTCTCCACTCCCTGAGCATTCTGTAATCCAAAGCTTGGCAAGGAGGTGCAAAAAAATCCCAACTAGTATATGGAGAATACCGGCATGATGGTATTTTGTCCAAGGTTGATGCAAACAAAAGTCATGAGGTTGACAGAATCTTTTTTAGAACCCCACTTTTGTTCCAGATTTCCCACCAAAGTGAATGAGTTATTAGCCAGATAGCATTTACGTACTTGATTCTGAGTTGCTCTTTGAGCAGGCCACTGCCTTCTGTTCTCAGCACACAGTCTGTTCACCGCTTCAGACAGTGGGTTGGTAAGTGTGACCTGCACATTAACAGCCTTGTGTACCACTGTTGGACCAAGGACCTACAGAGAGAAAACATTCTGCTCAGTCACGGCATTAGTCTCACTTCTTTATCATGGTTTTCTCTTTTCATTCCTATTGCAAACCACTTACCCTCTTAGGACAGGATCTCCTGGACAGGAAGGAGCCAGGAATTAATACATGTACGTATTTTTGGGCATAAGAGCTCAGGCTTGAATCAGCCATCCAGTGTGGCTGAGAAAGAACAAACTGCTGTAGAATCTAGAATTTAGTCCTAACTTTTTAACTAGGTCATTGTATGGTGTTATCTATAACACAGTATATGATACTTATCAGAGTGAGAACAGAATGAGAGTACAAGTATTGACCTGGCACATATGGCTAACTGCTGTAGCCAGCTTAAGTCAAATTAGCTTTAGTTAGGCTAAATGAAAGGTTTAGGATTAGAAAATATTGGAGGTATGAGACAGAGGTGAATTGTGGCATCTCAGGCAGGGGGAAAAAAAAAGCCAAATAGCAAATAAACATATTCATTCCCTTATTTGGAGATAAAGTGGAATTGGCGTATCTGGTTATCTTTGTAGATAATGTAATATTAATTAACATAATGGAGAAGTCCAGCATCCTAATTGCATTTCTGTATTATTGACTGTATGTTTATACAGAAGTTTCAGTCAACAGAAACATAAGCCCTTCTTGAAACTTAGTCACTCAATTGAAGTCATTTAATTCAGGTGCCTGCCCTATATAAGCTGACTGTGTTATTTGCATGATACAGCATAGAAGGCTTTTTACAAAGTCTCACTAGAACTTGGTATTCAGAAATCGCCAGACCTTCAATAATCCAAACTTTTTGTTCCTGTGTGTAACCTTGCTTTTCCTGTATGCTACTGACAGAGTGGTTTGGGATAGCTAATCTAGTCTGGAGGCTCTGAAAGATCTGTGAATTATCATACTTCCTCTATGTTATTTACAGTACGGTAGGCAGATAGCATTTGATCCCATGTCTGATACAGCATGTGAATGTGCTGAACTGTCCAAAACAGGTTAAGCTACTTTATATGGATGTGATGGGCCATGCAAACCCAGGACTGTCCCCGGACAGGCAGTACATGGTCTTTCCTGTATACTAAGAATTGCTTTTTACCCATTGTACAAGATTTGTCAGAAGCCAGTCTTAAGTGGGAACAAAAGCCTCCAGTTCTAACTGTTAATCACTTGGGAAGATGTTACAGAAGGTGAAAACTGCCACTTTTCCTGATAAGGTGAAAGAACTTCATTGAGTATTATAATAACAAGCTTCACAGCCCCAGGCATTATCAGCTAGTCAGTGAAGATGTCTTTGGTAAAAATCAGGCTTCCTAAATAAACTGGAAGAGAATGATCAGAATTCCCTGACAGAAGTGAAGGCCTAGATATGGACAATATCTCTCTGTCTCTCTCTGTTTCTCTCTGTCTGTCTCTCTGGAGATAATCTTACCTTGTAACCCTCCTAACACTGAGAACTTTATCAGTGCCATGTGAACAAGCACTGGCAAGAATACCATAGCACAGCTGTGCTGTGGAAAGGTTTGCTTTTCCTTACTGTATTTCATTTCACTTGTGTCATATGGCCTATTACTAGAGCAACATGATCAAATCACTCTCAGGCACAATTTCACTTCCTACACTGCTTCCCATGTGGAGTAGATGGAGTAAGGATTCTAGTTGCTTCTTCTCAACACGTCTCTCTAGGGACACAAAGGGGACTAGCTTTTACCTTGATGGTGAGAAAAGGATCCTGAAGTACAATATCCTTCTCCACTAGAAGCGAGGCTCCCCGTTTAGTTTCACAGACAACAGACACTAGGATCTTCCTGTCATCCATCAGAGAGTTTTTGTACTGGGAATAGGAGATCTTGAATGAAATCTCTTTCACTGGAATGGAAATAGAAACAGAATTTCCCCTCTTCTTTTTTCTGTCTCTAAGTACCATCTATCTGTAATATATCTGTATTTTAAGGAGCAAGGACGCTATCACCCTGGGGCTGTCCATTTGTGGGTGTTGACAACCAGTAGACAGGAATGATGCTTATAGCTGAGTTCTACTTACATCAAACGCCAAATGATCAGGTACAGTTCAGTAGCTGGACAGTTCTCAGAATGGATATATGTGGCAAGCCCTGCTGGTGATTTTTTTATTTATCTGAAGCTGGGCGTTTAATGCTCCTTCCTTGCAAAGAAGGCAGAAGTGAGAAGGTGGGTTGGTTTAAGTGCCCTTGCTGATGCAGTTGTTCAACCTCTGCCTTAAAGAGGGTGCACAGTCAGAGCCTCTGTGCCAGTGAGGAAGGCAATGGATCTCAGTACATTGAGAAAAAATGTTCATCTACTGCTGGAACAGTGAAAGGAGTTATGATGTGTTGTGTGTTAGCTTGAGAGGGTGGTTATATTCATCTGTGCTACATATTTCATTTTTCAGCACTGTCCCTATAAAAGCAGAGCAAAGGCCACTATCTGCAGGTAGTGTAGCTCTTATTGCAGTATGTAGTTGCTGTCCTACTGCTGGAAAAGATGTAGGCTTATGTTTCCCCCTTTAATCTGTCTTTATACTTTGCTTATGGGGAGCTGGTAGCTGAGTAGTCTCTGGTCTATGTCTCTTAGTTGTTCTCTCATTGCAAAAAAGGTCGTAAAATAGAACTAACAGTGGCTGTGCTGGGTCAGACAAAAGGTCACTCAGCTCAGTATCCTTTCTGACAGTGCCTAAAAGCAGATGTTGAAGACAGGGCAAATATATATGTTTCTCTTCCATTGAATAGCCTTAACCTCCAACCGTTCGCAGGTCATGTACTTCTTGAGCCATTCATTATTTCTGTGTGATTTGCCCACAGACCAAAGCTGTAATAAAATTAAAATTACCTTCTTCAGGTCCAAGTTTAATAGACCTAGACAACTGCAAAATCTCTGCCTTTGGTTTTCTTGTGTAGAGAATGGCTGAACCCCTCGATTTAACCTTTGTGGTCTTGAAATCTGAGGTCAAGTTCCTGAGTGCCAAGGTAAGGGGGATATCCTGGCCAATTACAGGAGATGCATCAAGGATCAGCTTCCCTGAAATACTGGGGTTTTGTGCAGGCTGTGTCATATTTTGTCTTCATGCTACTGAAGATCGTCTTCTAGGTCTTGTAATTTTGGTTCTTTTTCCAGTGCTTCTCACACCAAGCAGCTTCAGTGCTTTTTTATACACCTACCTTTCTTTCAGGGATCCTGCTTTGAAAGATAACGTGGTCAGAGATCTCATGCATGCTGGCTATACTGCAATGGAGCCATAATTGCTTTCAGTAAATACAGTTTAGGAAGGCTGAGGAGGGCAAAGGTACACAAGAGGAGAAAGTGAGGTCTAACCTAAATGCTAATTTTGACACGGACAAAAGCAAATGAATATACATGGCCATGAAGGCTGGAAGCTTTAGCTGGCTGTTCATGAGCACCTCTTGGAAAGTGTGAGCAGTAGAAAGGTGACTCCTGGGAGAGCTCAGTTCTACATAAGCTGGGGCAATTGCCATCTCCTCTGAAATTAAGAAGGGTGAAAAAATCCTTTTGCAGAAACTCTCCCCAAACAACTCTCCAGAATGGCTATCACTGCATGTCATATCAGGTGGTGAGAATATTTCTGTTCAGAACAGCTGGGATAGAATGTTTTACAGAAGTAGCTTTAACTTTATAGTGAACACATTAGTATTTCATCAAGGGCTACAAAGGCCATATTGAATCACTATCAGCTGACAATAAGCCCCAAGACTTTGAAAATTCTCAATTACTTTCCTCCAGAACAAGTAAAGAAATTGAGTCAGTGCTCAGTCCAGCAAAGGCCTAAATTCTTTTAACTTCTGACCATCAGTGACAAGACAATTGTAATAAAGAATTTACCTTCTGGATATTTGTAATTAGCAGTGATGTCCACACGGGATTTGTTGCCCACTGCTTTGGTGCTGATAAATTTTCCAGTCTTCCTAGGATCAGAATAAATTCTCTCTTTTCTTTTGTTGCTGTAGTGAATCCAAGTAACATAGTCAGCATTCACTGCTGCAAACACAAATGAGCTGTCATAATCCAAGTTCACATCCCCTTCCTTAATGGCTCTGGTGGAGGCAGTACCACACTGATATGTTAAGGAGAGGGAGAAGTTAAATGACTGCATGTTGCAAAAGAACGTAAATCCTCATCCTGACAGCAAGAGGGAGAGGTAGTCACTGTGGTTGTACATTGTTTCTACATCTGTGCATTATGGTAACAGCATGTCCAGAGATTCCACATGCATTTTCTGTCAAAAGGTAGGAGCACAGAGGAGGTTGTAAGACTAATAAGGTGTGAGCTAACACTTTTTATGTGTGCTCTGTGAAATGTTCTAACCCTCCAAAGCTTGCAAGGCTGCATGCTAAGTTGTCTAGTGAAAGGAGAGGAGAGGATGGGAGCCGAGTCAGAAGTACAATCAGGTTTATGAGATCAGAGTCATCAATGCTGTATGTGCATTGAGAAGAACCAGGAAGCTAAATTTGGTAAACTTAGTAGTGGGGAATAAGAAGCAGTTTATCTGGAGTTTGATGGTTTTAAAATGGCCAAATAAATTAATCTTTTGATGGAGGTCATCAAACTAGATCAATGAAGTTGTGTCTGTATTAGTAAAAAAACCCAGGGCCAAAGTGTGAACCCAAGTGCTGGCCATTGGTCATCCACACTGTTTACTTGCTAGCGAGCTTCTTAGTGTGCCTTTTTTTTTCCCCCGTTGCCAATGAATGATCTTTCAAACAGCAGCTGTGAAGAATTCAGGGAATGGGACAGACCAGGGTTTGTTCCCAGAAGGCTGTGCTATTATTTTGGTCTGGGTGGGGGAGTTCAGTGCTGTGAACAAAAGGCATTGTTTGTCACTTGTTTTCAGAACCAGAGAACAGTTTGGGACTTCTTTCATGTAGATTTGTACATATATGCCATGTTGTTGCATGCCACAGCGACATCATATGAAATATCTTCCTACCCATTCCAGTGTGTCCTGTAAAACATAGGGTAGAGTCATGGGGCATATTTTATTTTCTGTTGTAAACTCTTTGGTTCAACCCTGTGACTATAAACTCTAAAATCTTTACTTAGCATCTTACTAAAAGTGGGTTTAATTTGTTTTGCTGCTAAATCTGTCCAATGCAAGCCAGCAAATGTGCCTAATGCCAGGAATGTGCCCTTGCAGCAAGGAAGGCCAGCAACATCCAGGGCTCCATCAGGAAGACCATTGCCAGCAGGTCAAGAAGCATGATCCTTTCCTTCTGCTCAAGCACTGGTGAGGCCACATCTGGAGTGCTGTGTGCAGTTCTGGGCTCCTTGTACAAGAAAAATACTGACGTATGGGAGCAAATCCTGCAAAGGGCCACAAAAATGATTAAGGGATGAGAACTGGGACTGTTCAACCTGGAGAAGAGAAGGCTCGGGGGAATCTTATCAATATGTATAAATACCCGATGGGAGGGTGTAAAGAGGACAAACTCAGACTCTCTTCAGTGATATCCAGTGAAAGGACAAGTGACAGTGGGCACAAATTGAAACACAGAAATTTCTGTTTAAACATAAGAAAAAAGCCTTTTCTGTGAGGGTGACCGAACAGTGCAACAGTTTGCCGAGAGAGCTTGTGGAGTCTTCATCCTATGAAATACTCAAAACCCAACTGGACATGGTCTGGAGAAACCTGTTCTAATTGACCCTATGCTGAGCAGGGGGTTGGAGTAACCAAACTCTAAAGGTCCCTTCCAACCTTAGTTATTCTATGTCATTTTACGAATCTGTGTAATGTTAAGAGCAAAGACAAGCAAGGGTGAGGTAAGTGAACTTAAGATTTGCTGGCTTTTGTAGAGGCAAAGGATCAAAAAAAAGTAAGAATTTCATGCTGGTAGGCAGTCCAGAGGCTGACAGAAAAGCAACCTACTGAAGACTGATGTGGGTATTGCTTTTCTTGTGCACCCGAATTAATGCTACATCTACAGGGAGTAGATAGAAGAGTAGATAGTTGTCCTGAAATTTCAGTAGCGATCTTCAGGAGTAATAGTATCTACAGCTTTTTAGATTTACAACAGTGTTACCTTTGCTTCTTTCACCGCGTGTTGCATCCAGAATCTGCCATCCGTCATAAAAAGAGCCAAGATCTCTTCTAATGAGTCAGCTTTCATTCCAGACATGGAAATTCCTGTAAGGGAGGTAGAATAGGGAATCCCTGATTCATACAATTAATTTTATATTGAAAGATTTGATCCCTGTCTGGTACACTGCAAGAAATAACCCTGATCGAGTGAATGAAGACTCTGGAGAGACCAGCTGCTGACTCCTTTCTTGAGTACCTTTTCTTCCTTCTTTGCCAAGTTTTTGTGTTCAGATCTCTGAGAAATGTTGAGATGTTATGAAAAAAATAATGTTAGAAGGAAAATAATTCATTACAGAGTCAAGTATTCCATTCGGGACATTCCTGAACAGCATACTGTACAGCCAGAGGTCTCCTGTGCACATTGCTGTATGTTGGTATTTGATTCACAGTTGCTTTCTACTTCATGTAACCCTTGTCCCATTCAGTCCACATGGCGCAGGGTGCTTGGTGACTGAAACACTGGTGCGCGCAGTACAACACACCTGTGCAGTGTGATAGTTTCTGTGCACTTACGTGTCAAAAGCATAATTTTTAACAGCTTCTCTGAGGTGAAAGAAACAGCATGTTCTTCCTAAGGGATGGGATGGAATTTTTCTCAGCTGCATTAAACATATTACCTTTACTTTAGTAACCTCTCAGTATTATGCAAGGGATGTATAATGGTAATCATGAAAGACTGAGTCAGTCAACAGCACGTAGCACAGGAGTTGGATCTAAAACTTACGGACTTCTGAGAGTGCTCTGCTCTAGGAATCAAGGGACAAGCTGATACCATTTTGCAGCAAGAGGATAATTACTCTTCAACTTTTTTTTTTTTTTAAAAATGTAAACTTACATACAGTAGAGACAAAATTAGCAGTTATATTTTCAAATTATATGTTGAATAGCAATGATAAAAAGTATCTCCTCTGTTAATTCTTCAGAATCATGAAACTGACGACATATTGCATTTCTGAAAACTTGGTTGATTCTTTGGTATGGGGTTTTATGTCGCTGGGAGCATGAGGTTCAGGTGTTTTTTCAGGAGTGTGATTCTAGATGTTTTAATTAGAAGAGAATATAATGGAAGAAATGGTAAGAAAAAAATATATTTACCACACACTGTCTTCAGTCAAGTGCAGGGTCTTTCCGGAAATGTCAATGTACTTACCAATACGCAGATTTATATTCCTGTCATGGGCAGAGTTGAAGCTTGTAATAACACGAGTAGGTATTCCCAAGGATCTCAGAACTGCAATATAGAATACCATGAAAGTCCTGTAAACCTATTTTACAGACATTTAGAAAGTATTTTTCTGTTTTTCTTGGCAAAACAGTTGAGTATATATGTTTTCAGTGGGGAAACAAACCCTCAGAAGCTTCCCTCTCAGATATGATCCAAGTCACAGTCATTGTGCACAATTGCTTAGAAGACAATTCCACTCACATGATGTTCTTAGCTGCCATGTTCTTTTTAAGAAGAGTTAGATTCACCCATTTATTTTAATCTTTCATTCTTCATCCTGTTCTCGCTCTCATTTTCTCCCTGTGATTTGTTTCACTGTTACTTGCTTCTTTTCCTCTCTGAGACATACCTCTTGATTGCATTACTTTTCTTTTGTATTTTCCCCAAAGTGACTCTTGTCTTTCAGAGCAGCTCTGAATGGAAACTGCTAGGATGAAATGCTTTTCCCAACTTGCAACTCCCTTTCCAGGTCTCCAGAATTGTGATTTATTTTTGTGTCAGTAGTAGGTAAGACACAATAGTAGAAAACTGGAATTGTGAGGAGACAGACTTAAAATAGCACTGGTTTGCTTTGAAACAGGAAGCCTTGCTCTTTTCACCAGCCTAGCCTTGCAAACCGTTTTGCATTTTATTTGATGACTCACAAAACCTATGGTTGTTTGAAATAGAAGGAAATAACCCTTCATGCATGGAGAGCATAGGTTCTTCACTCTCTCTGTCAAAGCTGAAACAGCTTCAACAATAACATCACAAAGTTAAATCTGCAGAAATTCTAGTAAGCTTCCTTTCTGATAGTTTTCCAAAATATTTTATGCTCCTCTTGGTGTTTGAAAAACTTAGCAAATGATCTCAGAATGGACACAGGCTTTCCAAGTTAGTGAAAAGATCTAATGGACTGAAAATCTGTTAGGAAAATACATCTGAGATTTAATGTTCCCCAAAAGTTCTTGGCAACATTTCTTTAGTTATGAGCAAACTTCTGGGAAGAAGGTAAATTAAACTTTTGGGGTATGTTCCCTTGAGAATAAATCTCCGTTTAACCTCTTATGTAGCTAAGTTAGCTACTCCTATAAAACACTGAGGCATTCACAATAAAGTATTGGGGTTTTTGTTAGTAGATGCATTGTACAATTGTAATTAGTTGATCACTTTACCATAGCACTGATAACCCTGCTTACATAGCTAGGACTGTTCTGGATGGATACATCAACAGCTGGGTCTTGGCAGTGGTTCAGGCTTTGATCCAGTATAGTCAGAGAGATATCAAGGATATCCTCTTCAAACTGAAATCAAAGCAAGCAATATATTAAAGGCTAATTTCGTAAGTAAACCAAAGGATAAACTCCCCACCTATTTTCCTTTTCCTAGCACAATAGGGTGATGTTGGTAATATGAGCATTTTCGGTACTGCTAAAGAAAATAGGGCCAAGAAGAAAACATAAGCACTAGGATGCTGAGTCTCCATAGTATTTTAAAGGCAGCGTGTTTGTGAGCATGGTTTGGGCCCATAGCTGCTAGCATTCACGAAGACATTATGTGGCCTAGTGGAACAGACAAGACCTCTCCAGGTCTGGCTCAGCAGGCTTTGCACCCTCCCACATCCTGTCATGCCCCTACAGGTACCCTTTTGTTACGAAAGCTTCACTCTGGTGGGCTGCCTTCACCTTGTATCAAATGGTCTGAACTGAAAGAAACCCACAAAAATAATTATTGTGGATTAAGGTCACAAAGACACTGTGTTGGGCCCAGAGGGTGCCAAAGTGCTATGCTGTATGGATGTGGCCAGGCAAGGATGCCACTTGACCTCTGAGACAGAAAGCAGATCTGGCCTTGTTTCATTTATCAGTGTAAAAGTAGCCACAGTGATCAGGAGCGTTAATAGAAATGCTGTCTGTGCTACTGCTGGTGCAGTTGTAAGGCATGAAGTGTTCAGGAATGGTTTTGACTAGCCCAACAAGTTGCAGGACAGCTATCTGACTACAGATGGGCTGTAGTTATGACTGTATTTGTAGCAGTTATTCTTAGAAGGCCAAACTGATTTTCAGAAATTCCAACTTGAGTTATTTCAGTTGAGTAGATTTGGGATATCCTTTTACTGTCTTCTGCTCCATTCCTAAACCAACTGTGTAAATACTTAGATGTACTAGCCTTGCAATACCTAGAGGTTAATACTGGAATGGCTTCCTTTGCCCTTTACAAGGGTCAAGAAACAAGTAGAATTTTGCCAGTTTGTGTAACAGGCAAAAGAAAACTAAAATTGTGCTTTGTTTCTTTTATTTTTTTATTAGCACATGCCAGAGAGGAAATTATCCTGATGGTGCTGTAATGTTTTGATGAGACATATATCTGCAAGAAAATCATAAGTGAGAGAGGAATACTGAACTCTTATACTATGACATAATGATTCTCTCTCCTCAGGAGCCTTTTTACCCACTGTTCTTATTGTCAAAGTTCTGGAATAGGTGATGCTGTTTACCTGTCCATAGTTCCAAGCTTCTTGTTGAACGTATTTTTCCAGTCCCTGAAATATGATCTCACTATCATTCAGGACATATTCCCGTCGCTCCTTTTCATTAGCCATATAGACATCGTCATCTAGAAGCAGAATGAGACATGCTGGCTGAAAGTTGTTTTGCTGTAACTGCAAATCTCAATTCAAGGAGAGTTCCAGGGAACAGGTCAGGCTGCCTGTGCATTCAGGCTTAGAACTCCCCACTATACCTCTGTAGTCATTTAGAGAGTGAATAAAATAAGCGTGAAGTTCCTTCGAGGAGAACTGACTATGCTCCTGTCCCTACACTAATCTCAGCATGTGTCTTACTGGTAGATATTGCTTGATTTACAACTGAACGCAAATATCAGAGGGAGAAAAATTATAGAATAAATATCTGGAATATTTCTTGTCTCTGATTTCCTATTCTACAAGCAAGAGGCTGGATCTTTGATGCATTGCAGCACTGAAGAAGGTGCAAAAACTTGATCCTTGATGTTGAGTGAAAAAAGAATCTTTCTGTAGCTATGACTGTCAGGTACATGGTTTACTGTGACACCCAGATTTCCTGACTGAGACAATGAGTTATCTGAAGGACATGATACATCAAAACCTACTTGGACACCAGGGATTGAAGAGTAGCACAAACTGACCCAGGAGTGTTGAAGAGAACTTGTTGCCAGAAACAATCTGGAGTTTGAGTTTGTATTGTCCAATGACAGCATTGGCTGGGCTGAATATTGTGAAGTTCATGCAGCCAGGGAACTGCACTCACTGAGCTCTTGGGTTGCACTCCAGCCACTGGCACCCTCCTCAGAAAGGTTAAATATAGCCTTGGTCTGCTGTGATGCTGCTGGAGATGGTCCTGCCAGAGGGAACAGGGACAGCAATTCTGAATGACAGCTGTGGGTGACAAACTTTGGGTCAGTGATGAACTCCATATTTTTTTTTTGATGACTACATTGAATAATTGTGGCTTATCAGATCAAATGCTTATTCAATGTAAACTAGCTGCACTCCAATCCATAGAATCGTACTATGCAACCCTCTGTGTTATGTGCACAACCCAGTAAGGGTGAGTATACCCGTAGTCATTCTAGACAAGTGAGGAGACAAGCCTGTTGTCCTGAAAACCTGACAGTTCAAAAATATGTAGGCAGAATGGGCCACACATTTTAATAAACATTTCATTAAGAGTTAGTAGCTGCCTGGAGAATTTTTTTGAGGAGCCTTTTGGGAAGATACAGATAGAGGTCTTATGAATGGGGTCATGTAGACTGTTCTAGTAATAGGGAACACATGAAGTTAATCAAGGGGAATTTAAACAGGTGAAGCAGAGAGTCAGGAGAGGAGACAAATGGGGGATGGTGGTTTGTGGGTGGTAGAGTTACAAAAAATGTTCAGGGAGCACAGAATGAAGACAACCTGCAGTATTACAAGTAGATCCTTAGGAGCAGAGATACAGGCTTGGTTTTAAAGTGAGAATGGCCCCAACCTTTCTAATATTGCCTTAAGGTACAGACTGAACTTTAAAATGGGAGCTCCTAAGCCTGAAAGGAAAATGAATCCTGAATGATAGAGGACAAAGCCTAGTGATTTGGGAATGAACCGCATGGAGCTGTAAGGTACTGGTGTTTTGGAGCTGGAGTGACTTTGATGTGAGGTGAGTGCCATGGGGAAATTACCTGTGCTTGCAATAAAGGTGAAGTTGTCCCTAGATTGCACTATTGTTTGGAGGTTCAGAGTGATGTTGAAGGCCTGTCCTCTCCTCAAGATTGCTTCTGTGCTGCTGTAATCAGAGGTGTGGTGTACAGCTTTATTTAGTTTGGATTACCAATTGACATTTTTTATGTCAATAGGAAGATACAAGGCAAGTTAATTAAAAACATTGTTCCTTCAAACTTGTACATCTTTTCAGCTTGTCTAATATAGTAATTTTGTTATATATAGCTGGAGTTATATGCTCTAGGAAAACAGAAAAATCCACTGTTGTTATTAAAAATTGCAAAATAAATAACAACTTAGAGGAACAGCTAAAATGTCTTTTCTGCAGGCATCTTTCAGAGGCAGAAAAAACACCCATTCAGAGAATTCATCTTTGATTAAAAAAAAAAATCAAAACCCTATTCTATTTAGGTAAGATCTTATTAAAGTTTGAAGAGACTGTTCTATTTCACCATGTTGCTGTTCTTTTTCTGTGGGGATCTCTAGTTCCCAGAATGCTTTACCAACATACAGAAAGAAGTACTAAAACTCTCATGAGCAAGTGCGTGCTTGATCCTGGAAACACTGTATAACAGATGATGAGTAGAAGGCTAGTATCTTCATTGTCAAATTTGGATGTTATCTTCTCACATATCTTATATCTCAGTTAATTTACAGTCTTGTTGCTTGAAGCTGGGTGTTATTTCACACTGTTGGAAAAAGATAACCAGCAGAGGACACATGGTAGGATTAGAAGTGATGTATCTTGAGGCAGTGCTGTGGGTTGCTCTATCATATCATGATAAGTTGCCCACTACTGAAAATGGGACACTGAAGCACAGATTACAAAAGCTTTCAACCTTTTTTGTTCCTCGATCAATTAAAAAAAAAAAAGCAGAAAAAAATACAGGTCCCTCTATGATGTGTTTGAGAAGTGCCCTTTCCCCGGTATGATATTTCAGATGAATTTCACTTGAAGAAAATTTCCTGCCACAACTAGACAATGTTAACCCTTTTCAGGCTAGTGGTGCTGTAAGCAACACTTCCATCATTTCACTGAACTAAGATACAGGACTTGGTTTAGCATCACCGTGAATCACTTGGAATGAGGCTTGTATCTAAGGGAATCCATAGGATTCTACTATAGAAATAGGGAGGGTGAGATTTGAGTTTTCTGCTGTGTTTGCAGCAGAGAATTATATTCTGTGAAGTCTTGATGTAGTCATAATTACACTAATTTTTTTGGAAGAGACATGAATGTGTACATGCAGTTCTGAGGCTGCAGTAAGGGCCTGGAGCAAGTTGCTTTCCTGTAGTCTGTGAGCATAAACATGTTTGAGTATTTTCAGTTAAGTGAAAGGTCTTGTTTCAGATGGGTCACCTGGAAAAAAAAAGTTCCATTGATAGGAGTGTGATGTCAGTCACGGGATGTAAACTGTCGAGAAAATTTCTCACTTACATCATCACTTTATTTTCCTGACTTAAATATGTTTAATTGAAAAAGAACCTACAGAAAACAGCATACCTAACATCAAGTCCTCTAATTTAAGAGTGAGTTAGAATGTGTTTCTGAAGGGCACTTGATCTCAGAGTTTGTGAAGAAGTTAGCCTTGCAGCGCTTTACCCATGTATATCGTACCACTGTGTATCCTGAACTGTGCAAGTTAAATGTCCAGGCTCTTCAAGGTGGGGAGCATGTGTGTCATTAGTTGTGCAGTGATGCAGGTAACTAAGAGCATTTTGCATGTCTGCAAATAAAAATCTAGTACATGCAGGATTTAATAGCAACTGAGCCATTGGTTTGATACTAGTGAGACTCTGACGTTTAAGGACCTAAACAGTGCTGCTAAGAGTTTCAGAGTGGAATGTCGCAGGCAAAGACAAGATGTACAACAGAGTAAGAGGGGACACCTGGAGAAGTAGGAAAGATAAAGAAGGCAGTGGCTAGCATTGGTTAGCTCTAAGAATTTACTGCATTAATAGTTTGGCTTGTCTTGCAAATTCTATGGTTACACAGGTGTCTGTAGTGAATTTGTGCAGGAGATCAGCAAAAAATGGTTTATATATGAGGGAAGAGCACAATAAAGACTGATACCAGTCTTTTGTTTGTGTGTACTTCAAATATCTCCTTGTTTTGATCTTCACAGTTTCAATTTAAATCTTGTAATTTCTTTTTCTGCTTTCAGTATCTCTCTGTTGGAAAAACATATTTTCAGTAATCCTGTCAATGTACAATTGGACAAACTTCTGAAAATTTGTTTGAGTAAGTGTTTAGACATTGGGAGCATGCTCAAAAGTCTGCAGAATCGGTGATCACTGGTGAAAATGCTGATCATTATGCATACAGGCTTCTTGTAGCTTCAGCTTTCTGTCAGAGGCGACAACAGAAAAAAATCCTAGGTTAAATTGGAGACGGGGGCAGGAGAGAGAGAGGGAGGGAGTTTGTTTTATAGGACACATCTTTCTAACTAGAGATCTTTCCAGTCAGCATTAGAGTGAGAGCAAGTGCAATATAATACATAGATACTGGGATTGCACTTTGACAAAGCAGCACACAGGCTAACATAGCCACGCTGTAGGGAGGTGAACATGAGAATCCAGAGGCCATCAAGTGACCTACCTGAAGCTAAACATCAATTAGGTATCAGAGCGGGATTAGACCCTGGGAGACTTCTATGTGGCATTTTGATGCCTAAATCACTAACCAGTAGTGTTGATTAGGTGACTGCAAAAGCACTGTATAGAGTAGTTAATGGATATGATATAAAAATATTTTCTTACTCCATTTTTCTGTGTTACAGGAAAAAAGAATGTTCAAGACCCATGCTATTAAAAAAAAAAAAATCAGTTCTAGCAGTTCTAGTAGAATAACCCATAAATGCATTTAATTTAAAAAGGGCTAAATTGCCAAAAGAACAACTAGCTGTAATTTATCCTGTTTCCTCAGCAAATGTCACTCATCTGTGCTGGAAGAGTGACGTCTGGAGCAATCAGGCTGGTTTTAACTTACCCGCTATAAGGCTTCTTTCTTCTTTTCCACACTTGTGTGTAATTCAGGTTACGGATACAAAAGTGTGCAAGAACATTCTGAATCCTCTTCCAGCAGCATGAGTAACGAAAGGCTTAGGACTCTTAACTTCACTGCATTAGCTAGAGTTTATACAAGCTGGGTGTGACCTATGGTTGCTAGTTACTGGTTTTGTAGTAGTGATGTCCTGTGTGAGAATCTACTTATGACTGCTTTAATTGCACAATCATAAATCTAATTATGCTTATTTAAAACTGGTGAATGGCTGAGCAAAGATGATAAACAATATCCTGGTGTCTTAACTACTAAGAGAGGAAAACATTCCAAATTGGATCTAATGAAGGAAATACAATCTTAAGTAGACAGAAGAAATTTAATTTTGGATGGTTTGGTTTGTGTCGGTTTAGGGTTTTGGAGACTGTATGTATAGAGGGCAGGTATAGACAAATACACATAGCATACAACGTGGACGTATGGGACATGGAATGATCTAAGTAGATTTGTAATATGTTAGTGTCACTCAGTAACAACATGATTTTGCATAGCATGAACCACATAATTTTTTTTTTTTTATCTGTCTGAAGATCTTTCACATAACTGTGTATAGTTCATTCTTTCTTGGAAGCATACAGAGTTGTGACGTTCTCATTATCTGTTCCTGACATGATTACCTATAATACGTATTTCTTAAGTAGGAAGCAATACGTCTCACTGAGAGGACATTGTCATGCAGTCACCTGTGCATCAGGGATTTCTGTTAAGTAAAGAGGAGTGTTTAATGACTGCCTCTGCTTTTAATAATTTTTCTTTATAGTTTGGCATTCATAATACATGTACATAGTTTCTCTGAAGCTATTTGGCATGACATCTTAAGTTGGGCCCTGGAACAAGCTACAGAGCAGTTCTTCTGGTGTGAGCCCTGCCCACTCTAATTACAGACACTCTCTTCTCCACTCTTGCAGCTCCCTCATGTTCTCTCCTCCCTCATCCTGTGTCACAATTTACCTAGAAACATGCCCTGCCAATTTGTCCCGAGAGTTGTTCTGAACTTTCAGCGGACTGTGACTGAAGATTAAGGGCTGTAGGGGGTGAAGGGGTGATCCCTTATTTTCCTCACCTCTACACTTCTACAT